CCCTGATTTGGTAATAAATTCTTTTCTATTCTATTCTATTGTTTAACGTCCCTCTCGACAATTTTTCACTCATTTGGAGACGCCACCACGTGGCGCTGAAGAGCTATATGTGTACTCGGCACTTAGGGCCATTGAGCAGTGAGGAATCTTTTTTACTGCGACATGGAACCTCGGTTTATACGGTCTCATCCGAAGAACCGGTCTCCACGTCCCACAGTGGGATGCGAACCCGCGATGTAAGGATCAACACCTTACTTGGCTACTTTGGAACAGACACCCTAACCACAGCGCCACGCAAGTGACTCCAAATAAATAATAGTAAATGATAGTAAACACCGTAAAAATACAAATTATCCAACCGTGATCAAAATACCAGATGACCACCTCTGCATTTTAAATGATGACTGACAAATCCATCCAGACTGCTGATATTCTTGCTTCATCAATTTGTTTGTCAATAACTTACCTCGTTTTAGAATTTTTCATATGTAGAACATTCTCTTCCATATGCAGATGACAATGGTCTCTGAGAACGGATCAGGGCATCTACAGACAGACGGACATGTTGATTCCAGTATACCGCCAAATTTCCTTTGCAGGAGTATCATTAATTTATTTGATATCAAATTCTATAAGCTGGAAATCCATGCATGGGCTTTTTCATTTAAAACCATTTTTGTACATGTATATTCAGGCACATACTGTCCGAAATATATGACGTTTTTCCTGGCTTTTTAACAATTTTGATACTTTAAGTGCCACATAAAATTTATAAATCGTAAAAGGCATCTCGCGTGAATAATAATCATCGATGCGTTCTGAAATTGTTACTACTCTTTAGTACATATTTTCTGAATAAACATAGCAAATTTCTAATAGATATATGTATAAATAAACAAATTATTAGATTTTATATTATGTATTGTATCGCCTTACGACGCACGGAGGATAACGTCAAACTGTCTAAAACAGTGTTACGTTTCACCTTTGTGATAAAAATAAAGTTGGAAAAGTCCCACTTGCATTTAGGAATTTCATTGATGCAGATAATTTAGTCTCCATAAACAGCTGAGGAACCAATCTGACACAATTAAACGAGCAATCTTCTGCTGATTTATAAGTAAGTAATAAGTAGGACAAAATTCCCATCACTATTCAACTAATATAAGATCTTATATTGACGGTCAACTATAGCGGTTTGTCCGTATGTTTGTACTACCTGGGGACTCGATCAAGAAAGACTTCACTAAGAAAACTCCCATTTCGATTCTATACTAAGGATCTGTCCGTAGGACAGTACCCTGTGCACATTCAAGCATAATAAACTCTTTATTTTTGCCTATATTTTACCCCAAAATTTATGACGCACTTCACTATGATAAATAAACATCTACTGAAAATTTGAGCTTAGTGCGCCCATAATTTTTCGAAAAAAAAACGCTTTGTCCACGATTTTACCGGACAACCCTCATACATGTAATTGATAAATTATTTTATAACAACAAGACCTTTCATAATTGTACCGTTTCTAAAAAAAAAAAAAGGAAGAGAAACAATATATGTACAAACATAATTTATTTCATATTTCCCTGCAAGAAATGAGATAAAAATTTTATACGTACAAAAATGCCAACTAAAACACACGAGTTTAATACGAAAGCAAAACCGAGGCACCAGCTTTAGAATTATACAGCTATATACATAAAATTGTCAGACTCCTGAAATATACCCATCCATGCATATCTAAGTCATGTAACTCTCCTCTAAGAACCGATTCCCCATTTCCGCTAGCGGAATGCTCCCAGCTTCTATTTTGAAATATCCCTAGCAGTAATTGTCAAAAAGCAGATATGAATCTTTATTTTACATAATTCAGCGATCACATGGGTCGACACTGCTTTGGCGCCGGACGTAATAAGGTCCGGCAAGATTCTGAAATTCTGCTTCCGGTTCTTCAACCTTTGCAACCGAAACAGAACATGAGGACCAATTAAAAAAATTGCTAATTACAACAGCACTAATAAATGTTAGAACTTCGTACCTTTTTTATTAGTAATGAGTAAATGTTAATAATCTGAAGATGTCGCTCGCTCTCGCTCTCTCTGTCTCTCTCTCTCTCTTATTCACTGAAGCATTTTAAGCGTTTAATTTGGGTTGAAGAAATTTCTAAAATTTGGTTGGCAAACATAAAATTCTACATTAAAAACAATGTGACTAACTGTGTTCTACCAGTGAATGTTCTACAGTGAAAGATGTATGGGCTTTTTAGAACGAACACTTCTGCCAAACCCACTTTGACGACTCTCCTAGAATTCTTGATTTGAAAATAAAAGTAGGATTTCCGAAGCACATACCCTTGACTCAAAGATAAAAAGTGAAACGTAGAACGTTCCCAAAATCTAAAGAAAACAATATGGGTTTGTAAAACGCTGATGCCCCAGTATGACGAGGGTTTAAGTTTCTCAAATGCAAGTCAACCTCAAAGGTCAAAATTGTTGGTATCTAAAGTAAGGTTCTGTTACAAGGAATACACATGTGAAGTATAAAAGCCCTAGTACTAACTGTTCAAAGGTCATGGTCAATGTTAAAGTTTTTTAAAAGTAAGTTAATACTATATCTGAAGAAAGATTTTGAACACAAACATACTACATGTAGTACTCAAAAGTTATGGACAAGGTTAAAAGTTTTTTGCGGACAAACAGAAACAATCAGACAGACTGACGAACAGGGCCAAAACTACTAAGTATATACCCTCGATTTTTCGATTACATGGGCATAATAATCTAAAGAATGTCGTTATATAGTTGATGTCCATGTGGCGTGAACACTGTTTCCTCACACTGTTTGGGACGTTGCTGTCGTCTATGGGCTATAGCTTCTTTTTTTTTAGAAGGACCTTTCACAGAACGGGGCATTTATAATATGATGTACAACTTTATAAACTGAAGGTAAGAAGTAAGCAGTTGATACTGCAACGCATGCGTTTCTGATTGTATGTCAACAAAAGGGCTAATGTGATTGGTCGAGAGATATGAAAAACTTATCAATATTTTATTCTCCCAGACACAAAACGTTCTAGTCAACCCGTAGAAGATCGAATGAGAATTGTTGGGTGTGACGTGTACATACCCTGCAAAAAAAAAAGTATGTGCAATTTTGAATGAAAATGTTGACATCAGGAAGATTAATTTCATTTGCATGTGAAGAGAAGGTTATAAAAATTTAGGAATTTATACTTTCAGAAAACTAGATTTATTATATTTTAGGAAGGCTTTTCTGTCTCAAAGTTTAAGGAAAAGAATATCATTAAAATTCCAGATTATCACAGGAAAATGTTTTTTCATGTTTTATTCTCGATAGGCGAGAACACTTTGTGTGTAATTAAAATTATATTAAAACCTGTCCCCCACACACCCAGGTGGTCTTTATCAGTGTGGCACATTACCAGAACAAGCATATCAATGCCAAGTACTACAACACAATCAATTTTCTGGCACCGACCGCTTCCGCATTATGAATGCATGTGCATGTATTCCTTCCCTAACACCAGAATCCTTTGATATATGACGAATGGATAATGTAATCTACTCTTCATTAAACTGAAGTATTATTTCATTATTATTTTTCGAGATCTCTTAATAATGGAAAACAAGTGAATGTAAAGTATGTTGTTGTTTAGAACGTCTTATATGGTTGAAGCTTGTTTCAGAATTTGTTTTGATATAAAACGAAAGTAATGTTTGAACTTGCATTTCAAGTGAAAATGGTAATTCTATTTTTGGAAACATAGTTCTTCAATCTTGTGTTAAATTATTTATTCAATAATCGATCTGTTTCAAAATTTTAAGACTAAATGACAATGATGAAATTATAATTTACAAAGTGAGTTCTGAAGCAATTTATAAGCGTTTTGCCCTTGAATTGTTACATAATTCTGCTAATAAAAGAATGCAAAAACGATTTGCCAAAGAGGCATTTGATCTTTACAAGTCGGTTAAACTGACACTATACCGAGTTCTTTATATAGCAAACAGTTATTTTAGTTCGCAAACTCTTATTCAACCCCATAAAACGGACTTAGACTTGTTTAAATTTTCCATATACCAAAATACCATTACCAGGTAATCGCAAATGTTTATATTCTATAGATCAGGGCTAGAAACCAATATAGACGGGCTGAAAGGTATGTCAAATTGTATCAGCTTTGAGAACACCTTTCTTTGCCATTGAGAACATCTTTACTTGAACTTTCTTTGCCAAATGGCATAGTTCGTACCTTATTTTCAAAACTATGGGTTCCTAATTCGAGGTCAAACAAGAGGTCCAAGGGCCATATCGCTCACCTGACCACTTTGGCAAGGAAAAAGCAGAGATCAGTTCAGTAAGGAAAAGTTCAGACATAAAAGTGGTTAGGGAGGAGGAGGGGGTGAACAAACTCAAACTGGCATATCCTAAGTGGTCATGATTTTAACAAACTTGAATCTACACTACCTGAGATGCTTCCTTCTAGTTATGTTCAATCATGGCTTTGCTGTACTTTTGAAGAATATTTTTAAAGGTTTACCCTATATACAGCGTATCCATTATGGCCCCATTCTTCCCTCAGGGGTCATAATTTGAACAAACTTGAATCTACACTACCTGAGGATGCTTCCATATAACTATGACTAATCATGGCTTTGCTGTTCTTGGGAAGATTTTTAAAGATTTTTCCTATGTGTTCCTATGCTTCCACTTGAGTTTCATCTTTCCTGGTCCAGTGGTTCTTGAGAAAATGTTTCAAAGAAGTCATTCATTTTAATTAATTTATAATTATCTCCTCTTGGAAGAAGACGACCCTTTATTTGAACAAACCTAATCCCCTTTACCCAAGGATACTCTGTTGAAAATGTACTAGTGGTTCTAGAGAAGATGAAAATGTAAAAAGTTTACGACAACGTCGACAGACAACGAACAGATTTTGATCAGAAAATCTCACTTGAGCCTTCGGTTCAGGTGAGCTAAAAGTCTATACCACTGGAAGAAGTAAAGGAAAATGTGCATGGTGGAAACTTACTAGCAAGCTGTACAAAATTCATTCCCCATAAAATACTCCAAATCCAGCCGACAATGACGATGAATGTCACCATTTGTAGGAAGGCCGCTAGCAGGTTGAGGAGAAATGCATTCATACGTTTCTCTATTTTAGTAGGACAACCACAAAATACGGTGAACGCTGAAATAAAAGTTCCTAAAAACAAACAAAAAATAAATAAGTCAGCAAATTGGATTTTTTAAAAAATGTATTAATTTTTCTATAAAAATCGCTTTCAAAGAATGTTTTATTTATTGATCCTTTAGCCTATTATTATATAAAGCATGTGGTGAATTTTTTAATGACACAATGTTCATGTACAGTGTTGGCATGCACATGTTTTAAACGACCCATGTCTTCAATAAATCAAGAGAAAATTTAAGTTAACTAATATTTTTACTCCATAAAATTTAATAAAATCTGGAAATCGCATGAACTTGGCTCGTAGAGTTGTTTTTGCGATTTTGAACTCGTCTTGAACGTCTTATGCAAGTAAGAGATTTATATAGAAACAGGAACCCTAACATTTGTTGTACTAGATGTCTATAAGTGCATTTTTTTACCCTTTCATTAAAAAAAATCAAACTAATGACGGAGGAAAATTCAATCATCTGCTCGTAAATTTTGAACTTAAAAAACAAAGATGGCGCCACCAACCAAAACTACTCAAAAAATATATCCACAAGTAGAACACTTTGCTTGTTCAAGTGTTGCCAGATATTATTTTCTTGCAACATATTGCACATCTTCTCCATAACATCACGACTGCATTAGCCATGTAAAAGAGCATGGTTTCTGACAATGATATGCACCTGAGGAACAAATTTCTTTGTACACGCGACCTTGTTCCGCCGCGGAGTGAAGCCTATACGTTTCCTTCATCCCTACATTCTTTTCTGAAGCACTCTCAAGACAAATCTGTAGAGTAAGTGCCAAACAATGGGTTAAAGTTACAGACAGAGAGGAAAAAACAATCCTGACTCCGAAATGATCAATTGACGGAAGCAAAAGAAGACGATTAAAAAGATGAATTGGTGCTAAATGTATACCTTCAATGCATATATTGTTTATGTATTGTCGACATGTTATTTTAATGAAATAACTGACAGTTAATAAAATAACAGGCATTTATTATGAAATAACTGACAACTAATCAAACGATTCCTAGTTAATCATGAAGGAATTGTAAATCTTTGTTACTCCTAACTGTCATTATACACGGGATTCCCAGAATGCCAGTATGTGTTGAGGTTTAAAACAACAGATGCTGGCATTGAAATTTTGTTTAGCGTGGCGGTTAATGAATGCTTGTTAATTGTTACACTGGCGCTCCAAGGTGATATACCTGCTCATCTTATGAACTGTATAAATATAATATGAAGCATCTGCTTTCAAAAACTTACCTCCTGATCATAATCATTTTACAGGTGTTACACAATGTACCTAAAGGTCAATTATATTGATCCAAAAAGGACGAAGAGTCGACACAGCAGAATCATATATTTTTCATTTAGTTTAGCTTTTTTTAACATTTATCTACAAATTTATGTTTAATCAAAGATGCTGGTAACATCAAGATTTCTCTTCGACGCTTCATCTTCTCGCATCTGTAGCATTCTTGTGTAAAAAAAAAAATATTCGGTCAAATTTATTTGTTTATTATGTTGCCTAGCTAGCAGAGGAAATTGAGACCTAAATCTATTTATTTCTGCGCATTTTTTAAAGTCTTAAATTATTATATATTTTAGAATGCTTATATTTAGCATAGACAGAGAGCTTTTTATTTAAATGATTAAAAAAAAATCCACAAGAGCATACTATTTAATCAAATTAAATGTCTGTCATGTAATAAAACAAGAGAGGGAAAATAAAACCTAATCAGACATAGGGTATGTTACAGGTTTCCTGTTTACTTATTGTTTTGTTTGATGAATGTAAGTTTTGCTCTGGAAGATTGATGACTAGATTAATGCGGAACCATTGAACATATGATGCCATTTTCGCCAATGAAATCTGAAGAAGATGATGATTTTTTTAGTCCATCCTCTATATATAAATGCATTTGTAGTGCGTGGAATGTGGCTTTAATTACCAAGAAACATTTATTTCATCACGAGTTTTCAATTTTGTATATCTGAGCACGGGAAAAAGTGCTCTCTAAAGCTATTTAATAAAAGGGAAGTAAACAGATGCGTTGAGTGACAGGATGAGGCCCGTATAATGGCAGACGGTACTCGTGTCTGAAGCTCTGGGCTTGTTTACTTTTATTTCATTTGAAGAATATTTTAGTAGCCGCTTTTTTGTACATCCACCTTTCCCTAGCGCTGGGATCAGAAAGCCCTGGAACTCTCACTTAGCATAGATCGTTAATTTTGACACACCACACGCGTTCTGTCTTATGGTGTTCCTCCACTCAAAGACTTTAATGAATGGAAATCTAAAAAGGTACTCTTGGTTTATTCCTTCGCCAACGATATCCATTGAATTCTCGGATATATTGTTCCTTTCAGTGTGTTGTAAACAATATTATGTTTAAGAAATGAGAATTCTTTTGAAAAATATATGTTTAGAGACACTTTTAAGCGCTCCTGCAATTGTATCCCGTGTGAGGAAAAACATCCCATGTAATAAGAATTTCAGCATTGTGTTTAAGTTCTTTAATTTCAAAATCTAATAAAGGAAATGGTCAGTTATAAACAAATTTCAATACTCTACAATAAGGCGTGGCCCAAAAATTAACTTTTTTAGGTCGTCAGATTTATGATCATCTTTAATCTCATTTTAAGAAACATGTCATTGGCTTTATGGTTGATTGGTAAAAATCCATTTTGTCACGGAATAAGACTGTAAATTCATTGCAAAGACGCAAAAGTCTCAGGCTTTAAAAGAAGCCTGACCCAGAATATTTGGCGAAATATATACATTGATATATCTATTTCTTCCGTGTAAATTGTTGCCCAGAGTCTCTGAATCTTCTTCTCTGATCTCTGGTCAAAGAGTGTACAGGTTAGAGCCATATCTTGCTTTGTTAAAATTGATTTTGTCACCACAAAGACGTTTTAAGAATAACAAGGGGACCGCAAAGCTTAACATCCCCTTGCAAAGCGCATATATATAAATCAAGGCACTATTCGACATCGATCCTGATGCAAATAACGTCATTTCCGTTTTGCACAGGACACAACTCACAAACAAACACACACGGTTATGTTACTATATCCCCTTCAACTCCTTTGCGAAAGGATAGCTTGAAATTTTCGAAGAAATCAGATTGTGAATAACATTAAAAGGTATATTGTTTTGTTTAATGCCAAAATCACGTTAAAAAGATACATGAATTGTAAAATCATTGAAGATTCTATAGCTCTGACATTAAGATACCTATACTTTTTCATACCCAACAATTCATATTAAATTTTCTACCAGTATGTAAATTGTAATATATACTGTCCCAGTACATAGAACTTAACAAGAACATTTTATTACTGCTATTTGTCTCTTCCCAGTAGACATATACTTACACATGTTTACCGTCATCTCCCTTTATTTCTTATTTCATTCTAATAAAAACCTAGTTGCTTTAATTACTGGCAGATAAGATGCATGTTATTATTAATAACATTTGATGACGATTGATGATACAGAATTTATAGATCAAAGATGTTGTGATTAAATCAGACGTTTACAAAATTCATATTTTGGACGGAAACATCGCTGATAATATTTAATTTTACAATTCAATAATGAGAATACATGAAACTTCATACAAGAGGATTTGTTTAGCAGTTGTATTGGGCTTTGATTTAGTTGACAGCGAGCTCACTCGGAGAGATTGATAAGTTCTCAAGAATCAATTTAGATCTAAATACGCGGAATTCCCGCTACCTTTTGATACACAATATTTATGCTGCCCAGATGTACATACAACTTCACTTTGTTGAACATTTCCTACTTGATAAATTCTGACGGTTAACTTTGTCGAAAGAGAAAAAATTACGGTGAATTTGCCGAAGGGATGCTGATACTGTAGAAAAGATTAAGTTTTATCACGAAGACATTTTAGTTGTATTGAAAGCCACACCTTCCCACATAGCACGCACCATAGGGGGTTGCTGATGTATAAATAAATTTTGCTGATTAAATACCTTCATCGCTTCTTTTATCGCCAATTCTAACTCAGATAAGGGAAGTACATTCTTCAAAAAATGAATATCATTGCGATTTTCGACAATCGTTAACAAAAAAATAACGTGTTGTTTATGTATCAGTACATTGCCCTCGCACTAAGTCTTCGGGTAGAAAACTCAATGGACGGGTAGCTGAACATAGTTATCTATTGACAAGAAAGAGTGTATTGGTTTGTGCATAAATAAAATCTTTGGGTTTGTTATCTTTGTATTTGAGAAACTGATCACCAGTCTTTCCAAAGTAATTGCATATTTTGGTGTCGCAGTGGAACTCTAGAGAGCGTTTATCTGTCTTCTTGCTGTCATTGTGCATAATCGTTAGATCATCCAACTCACAAACTGCACGAGGCACGTACATATATATAGTTCCTACTCAGAGCTCATTACCATATTCTTATTCTCTTCGTTTTTTTTTAGGAAGAAACTTGTAAAAAAAATTTTCAATGGGGAATCTTTTCCCCAAGGAAATAATTGAAAAGTTGTTTGAAACCATATATTCACTACTAGTATTTTCTCTTATAGTGCTGTGGTTTGTATTTTCTTTAAAATCTAACACCAGATAAAAAAAAGTTGATGCATTTGCATTTTCCAATCAATTTCACGTGTTTACCAGGTTCATGAAAACTAGGATATTCTGTGTAGGAACCTTGATTGATATTGCAAAGTATCTAATGATACGACGATCGTGCAGTCGCATTCCAGGAAGCAAAAATATACCAGTAACTCAATATCACGAATCTTCGCGAGGGCAAAAATAATTGTTTTTGAAATGTAATCGAGATCAGCGATTATGATACATAACAAGCAGTTCATAAATATTTATCGTTAGTTAGCTTCCTTAACGTATCAAACAGTTGTTGCAGTATATATGCATAAGATGTTTTACTTTCTGAAATCTACTCACCCATGCCTGGAATGGCAATATTTACGAGGCAAAGAATGACTGCAGCACATAAATGCATCTTAGGTATGGCATTAAAAAGAGGTCCATGTTTCTCACTAACTTCTACCGTGCCCCCTCTATCGTCGTTGATTTTCACCTTCTTTTTCTCTCCGTTTTTCGACTCACCCATTGTTTATATATATTTTTTATACAGCAAACCTCCCAAAACTAGAATTAAACTATTTCTCTCCACACTCAAATCTCACTAAGCACTGATTTGCACAGTTTTCATAGCATGTTGAGTTTTACCCAAATCCAACTCATTATTGTAAGAAGTTCGGTAAATTCTCAGTTAAAATAATAATAATGCGGGTTTTAAAGCACGTAAAATGTTCAAGAAATCTTGGCAGCGGTAAATGAGGAAGGCACTCTTCCTCAAGGGTTTATGATATATTTATCAATCGCAGTATACGAGTCGTGCGCTTCGCTCCAGCACAGAGAGAGGAGAATAATACTGGCACCCTGCAAGCTATCATAAGTATACTCGAGATGACTTACAATTCCTACGGCTCAGTAAAACACTGAAATAGAAAGATGAAACAGTTATGTGAGGGTGTTTGGTAGAGTGAAAACCAATTTAAAACGTGACACTGTTTAATTTTAATCACAGCGCTTATTTGAATAGAACAAATTTTTAATATAACCAGCGTCGGTTACATTTCGCATATGTGATAAAAATGTAAATGCGACTGACCCCTTTTATGTACAGAGCAGCAAGAGTTAATTGAGGTAGTATCAAAACAAAAGAGTTCTGGCACGAGAAATTACCACTCAGAAATTAAGTGCGTCAGAAATATATAGACCTTATTTCAGCATAAGTATGTGTTTATAAACACTGACATTTTTTTTTTGGATGAAAAGGCTAATTTTGATGGGGAAGGGAGGTAAAATAGAGCAATTTTAGCATAAATTATAGGAATGTGGGTCTGCAATTTCAACCGTACATCATTGATGTCCTATCGTGACCCCTTCTTATGATGCTAGCCATGATCTGAATGTGATAATTCAACTTATATCCATAATTTTCTTTCGAAGGATTAAATTCTTACAAATCATTTGTCAGTTTTATATATTTTTTTATATTCCCAACAATTGATTTTGAATTATCATGAGCATTCGGCTGACTATGGTACCCTACATCAAATTTGCAGTAATCGGCCGAGGTTTGCCGAATGTTACCATATGTATACCAAAGGTACATACAAATACCATACAAAGATACTTAGTATTTTCCAATAAAAACTTCAAGATACAGTACTTTTTTTAAAAAATTATGTCACAAAATTTTACCAAAATAACATATTTTAACGAACAACTTTTCAATACTTTTTACAACCATACCCCACGACTGGTTTGAAAAGCTTGGGCTTTTTTGACATCACAGACGACTGCTAATTTCTCAAAAGAAGTGGATATCATTTTTATTACTGCTCGAGTTTCAGACTGACGATATCAAATGTATCTGCACGGTTGTTGTAGACTAGATCTTCAAACATTCTGTCGGTATAACCATTATTAACAGACCTGTTTTTTTTTTAAATTTATATGAAGCAATATTTATTCCAAAAACTCAACATGAAGGAAAGTATCTTACTGACGTCTTGAATTCAACATTAGATGTACCGACGACACTTTACGGTAAACAATATTCATTATCATTCCTACTTTGGCTCGACATTTTTTAAGTTTCATCTTTCGGACCTCATAGTTTTGACAACTTATTTTAGACAGTCAGGCTATTTTTGCCTTTTCTTTGATATTTCAAGGTAGAACTGACATTTATTTTTTAAAAAATTAACCCATTTATACAATAATTTAAAATTCGACCAGTGCTTCTAGACAAAGTAAGACTTTTTTAAAAAAAAAAAATGGACAGAGGGACAATGCACAACCTTAATTAGATTTGCGTCGTTGGTTCAAGTGGGCTAAACATATTGAACTTACCGGGCTTTTGTGAAGCAGATTTTTTTTAGCAATCATTTTGGATCTGCTGCAAATGCATATCATCCACTTTTAATCTGAGAATGTTTTGCTATTAAACGAAAAATAATATATCTACGAGTATGTTTATGTATATAATAAAAACTTTGAGTGATCATTTTGGTATTTACTTACATTGAGGACAGATGATACAAACAAACTTTTGTCAAAGAATATGAAAATAACAACTTGGGTCGTGTTTAAATAAATAAAATGAATAACTTTCACTGCATAGTTTTTAATTTTTTACTCAGATTTGGACAAAAATGAAATTTAAAATGAAAAATATTTGTATAGATTAATAAGGATGGTTTCAGAAGAGCAGACTTTTGAACATCACAGAAGGTTTACAATTTCTTTATATTCTAGAAATTTATTATTTTCATCATTAACAATGAAATTAGGTAAAAAAATACGTATCAATCCAGGCATCCATTTGTTTGTTTGTATCATCTGTCCTTAAATGATATCATCTATTCAGATTTCACTTATTCAATTGAGAATATCACCTTTATTCGACCAGGAATATTGCCTATTAGAATTGTTGAATTAACAACAAAAACGATGCTACGTCACTGAGTAGTATGGAACGCCGTCACTGCCTTATAGCAGAACACAACAATTGCACTGCGTCAACCTTCAATTACATTATGTCAACTCCATATGACAGTTACTCACACAACTATTACATTGTGTTAACCTTCTATTACATTATGTCAACTCTACATGATATTAACTCATACTACTATAGCATTGTGTGAACTTTCCTTTACATTATGTTCAACTCTTTATGACATTTGCTCACACTACTATTGCATTGTGTGAACTTTCCTATACATAATGTCAACTCCATATGACAGTTACTCACACTACTATTACATTGTGTCAACCTTCGGTTTCATTATGTCAACTCTTTATGACATTTACTCCCACTATTATTTTATTGTGTCAACCTTCCATTACATTATGTCAACTCTTTATGACATTTACTCACACTACTATTGCGTTGTGTCAACCTTCCATTATATTATGTCAACTCTTTATGACATTAACCCACACTACTACTGCATTGTGTCAACCTTCCATTATGTTGTGTCGATTCTTTATGATATTATCCCACAAAACTATTACATCGTGTAAACCTTCCTTTACATTATGTCAACACTTTATGACATTTACACATTCTTGCATTTCGTTATGTTTACTGTTCATGACATTTAATTAAACAACAATTACATTGTGTTAACCTATCATTACATTATGTCAATTCTTTATGATATTAACTCACACTACTACATTATGTCGATTCACTATTACGTTATGCGAACACGGGTATCCTCGGCCTTTATATGAGCATACCGTATTTTCCGCAATCGGCAATCCTCGGCTGACTCTGCTACGCTCCATTCAAACGTTATGTGCGAGGTACGAGTCATCCGAGGAATTCTGATTGTATTTTCCGCGTTCCGAGAGCACTAAAATTGGCGGGAGAGAAAATTGCCGTAGAAGAAATCTCAGCGATTTGGGAATGACATCTTTAAATAAAAATTTCAAGCGACAAAGGATTGACAATCTTGAAACGTGCAAAGCCTTAACACTGCGACTGTGAATTAAAGACACGTCGAAATTCAATGGCGTTTACTTTAATTTGATAATTAAATAAATCAAATATTATGAGTCGTGCAGCAATTTTTTTTTCTTTTTATTTTGAATTGTTGTTTGTTTATTTGGTTTTTTTTTTTGGATAAAAGTCTTAAACTTCTGATCTTACTAAGAACATTGTCATAATTTTTTTTTTATCAGTCTTGAACTTTCCTTTTTTTTAAAAGTGTAAACACATCGTATAACACACGTGCACTGGTGGGTTGGGGGGAGGGGGAAATCCCGCCCTACCATCTTTAGTGACCAAAATCTACATGTACAAAAAATTAATAAATTTATTGGTTTTACTTTGTAGGACATTGCATTAGTTTCACATTAAGTTTAGCTGAATTAAGTTGAAAACTTTTTTTTATAAAACTATAAAGCCTGAGAGCTTCTCTGCTTTCCCCCTTGGTCTCCAACCATAAACCGTCCCCCTTCAGGCTTGGACAATTTTTTTTTTTTTTGTTGAAGATTCTCATATCCGCTACTGATATGTGTTCATGCATGCTTACTAAGACATATTCAATTGATTTAGATGGGGGATTGGTAGATTTTTTGTAATAGAATTCTGGCCCTGGAATAGTTGAAAAAATTCCAGTGCGTGACGTATCATCTTTTTCGAAAGGAATGGGGGGGGTTAGCCAGAAAAAAAATATTCGCCCGAAAAAAAAAATTTAGAAGCCAAAAAAAAAATTGTCTACTCCAAGCCCGAAAATCCTCTTTCGGGGAGGGGGGGGGGGGGTCCAACTTCGATCAGTCCTAATTTTTTTGTCAGATGACAGATATACTACATTACCCTCAGTGGACTATACTTCAACAAAAAGTGGGGGTGGGGGCTGTACTTTCAATGAACATTACATTTTCTATTGTAAAGTTATGTTTGGGAAAAGAGGGGGGTTGATATTTTGTGCCTCTAATTCTTCCGTATCAATCAGGACCCCCCCCCCCCCCTCTTACCAGTCATAAAAACACGGTCGTCAACATTCATTTTATACCAGATATACAGCTTTGAGATAATGTAAATGTATTTTTACATCAGGTAATGCACTTTTGGAATCAACATGATAAAGAGTTAACACAATATAAAGATATTTTAAGATCACATAAGAAAGAGTTGACATAACGTAATTACGAGGGTCATTCAAAAAATACGTAGACAATGCTTCTCATCGTCATATGATTATTACAAGATTATAGATCAACACATTTTCGTAAACATAAACATTTATTTTGTCGAAGTGTGAAGTTTCATTCCATTTGATTAAACAGAACTCACGTTAGCCAAAATTGAAAGCAACATGTTTTGTTACCACGGAGCACGGTTAACCAATATTGTAACGTCAAAAACAACGCTGAGAAAGTTTGTCAAAAGTATGTATACATATTTTTGTTATTTCAAACACGGTTTGTTGCGTCTTCCCCATTCAAAACACATATCCACAATACTTAACGCCTGGTTTGCTAACAATTGTACAAATATAGCTTGAATTAGAATGTTATTGTTTTCAAATTCTTTGATTTACCATGCAACTTTATTATTTCTGCAACATTTAAGCACACATCACGTTCAATGACGTTCCTAACTCTTTTGACAATATTTTAAACTTTAACCTGTTTCTTTGCAGACAATCCATCGTCCGATTCAAACTCGCTACCACTCAAAAATTGTATTTTCAACTTAATACAAATACACAGATTTTTTTCATACAGATCCTGAATTATAAGGATTTTTTAAGCTTGTAGAAAAAGTTAAATTTACTGTTACTTGCTGCTGTTTAAATGGAACGAGATATTACATAACCTGATTTCATTTTAATTAATACAGCGATACTTTATTTAAACATGTAAATTTTATTTCGTTTCAGCTCCATTTATTAGAGGTATAGCTGTAAATACTATAAAGTGAAAATTAGAAAATTACTCAATTTTGACGGTGCTCCGTGACCCCATTTTTGCTGTTCTAAATCCTTGGTAATTTTAATAAATATGAGGATACATTCCAATTTTTTTGCTCAAATTATTTGAATTTGTTTTTAAAATATGTGTACTAACTTTGATTATAATATGACGTTAAATAAAAAAGTTAGGACAAAAGTCTACGAACTTTTTGAATGACCCTCGTATATATCCACATCACGGAATTGAGTTTTGACATAATGTGATAAAGTGTTGATATAATATAAAGATATGTTCACATAATGTCATACACTTTTTACACCACGTAATAAAGCACTGACATAAAGGTAAGATGTGTTCACCTCACATCATGATGCTCTCGCCGTAAAATAAAGATAAACCCATATCATGTAATAATGCTTTGATATAATAAAAATATACACTCTCGAAAAGGAATGGATTTTTGACTTCATGTAATGATAAGTTTAATTATAAAACACAATTCACTTGACGTAATGCAATTTTGACCTCTCATATTAAGGAAATGAAATGATGTAAAAAAACATTCATTTCACGTAATAAAGTTTTAACACAATGTAAACACATTATCGCTTCACATAATGAATTTTCGACTTCAAGTTATGAAGTGCTGACATAAGAAAGGATGTATTTACTTCATGTAATGCAGCATTGACATGATGTAAAGATATTTTTACATAATATCATAAAGAATTGACATAACGTAAAGATATGTTCACATCACGTAATGATAAATTGACATAATAAATGCATAGTTGTATGCTATAAGGCAGTGTTGGCGTTCCATAGAGTTGCACATGATTTTCAATTGCAAATGATTGTTGTTTTAGTGTTAGATATAATTTTAGAATCGTCACCAATAGTTTACGGTTGATAAAGCTAGTTAGATTGGCGTGTAGGGATGTGCGATTTTATCGGTATACCGGTATATCGCGATTTTTTGTTGCGTGATACGTATCGTGATACGGAGACCTAAATACCGGTCTTTAGGTACATATTATAAAGTCCAGAAATTATTCATTTAATTGTTCAATCTTTCAAATTACAATTACAGAAAGTGTAAAAAATGTTGTAAAAAGTGAAAAGAATGGCGTCTTACCGTCCAAACATAATTGATTTTATAAATTCAAGAAAGTAAAATTTTGTTTTTCAAGCATATTTTTTAGAAAAATAATGACTTTTCCTATAAAATCATTGTAAAAACTTCTTTTAAAAATATCATGATATTATCGTGATATTGTGGGAAAAAATCGTGATATATCGCGATACGAAATGTTTGGCGATACCCATCCCTATTGGCGTGACATATCAAACTGCATAAGTATTAAAAATAAGTTGTGTTTGTGAATCATTGATGCCCCCGTATGGCTACATAGCGAAGATTAAACTTTTCTTAAATGCAAATTAAATATGTCGGTACCCATGGTAAGCTTTTCTCACAAGAAATACAGTTGAATGCCCTTGCACCACCTGTTCAAAGGATATGGCTAAGGATAAGTTTTTGAAAGGCAGGTCAAACTCCAGGGTCAAGGTCAAAGTTGTTGGTTTCTAAAGAAAGGTCTTGTCACAAGGATAACATACGTGAAGTATGAAAACCTTAGCCCTTACCTTTCAAAAATTATGCCCGGTGTTAAAGTTCTTAAAAAGTAGTGTCATGTAAATTTTGAATTTACCGGATGGCAGTAAATTCAAAATTTACAACATGACAGTAGGCAAAACTCCTAGCTGCACTGAGAATTGCATCTCTCTCAGTCTCTGCTTGAGAAAATTCGGACAAATAAAGCACTATGATTTTGACCCGTGACCTTGACGTTTGACCTACTTTTAAAAAACTAAACATTACTTTGAATTAGCTATACATTTTGAAGGCCTTTCTACAAACACTATGATTTTTTTTTACCTCGAGACCAGACTGTGTGTCGTCTAAATAACTAAGATTTTTGGTCTCGTGACCTTGAACTTGAAGTTTGACCTGCCTTTCAAATATGTTATTTTTTCCTTATAGCTTCTGATTGAGAAGAGATAGTCTGGCATTTATATTTGACATGTGCATTACCTGTGGCAAGATTCCGAGCAGATTATGATTTCTGACCACTTGACCTTGATCTTCATGATTGGTGATAATTTCTGAATGACATATGATAGGGCGTTCATATTTGACCCAATATATTATAAATAATGACATTTCACCCACAAAGACACCGAAAGCGGAAGATCACAATTCCTTTTTGTAAAAGTGAGTCAAACTCCAAGGTCGAGGTCAAAAGGTCAGATTTGATGGTACCCAGAGAAAGGTCTTGTCACAAGGAATATACCTGTGAAATATGAAAGTCATAACCCCATCCATTCAAAAGTTATTGGAAAGGTTAAAGTTTTTTGCGGACAAACAGACAAATAGACGAACGGACAGGGCAAAAACTATATACCCTCGAATCTTCAATGTACAGGGAATAAAAATATAACGATGGAAATTTCTTTTCTTAAGCTGATGAATCCGTCATAGTCATGGCCATGCATTCGTACATGGGATTAATTTAAAACAACTGACATTTTAAAAAGATTTTTATGACGTATTAAAAATACAAAATTGAGTGTATGATACATTTACGTTGAAATCAAATTTTCGCCGATTCTGAACTTGAATTTAAAATCTAGAGCGTTTAGAACTATAGTTTTTAACTGTCAAACCATGTCTTTTATTTCCATGTGAAGTCGGTATAAATTGGTTATTGTTTTAAATATTTTATATCTTTGATATCTACGATTGATCTGTATATATAGAAGTAATAAAACAATAGAAAGATCTTTTAATTTTTGTTATCCGAACTTATGAAAAATACGCCATATACGACTTTTATAGTAGTATTTTTATTGAAGAAAAATTTAAATATTACATTTTCATGTCCTTGATTGATAAATCGCAAGTCTACAATTTACAATGAATTACAACCTGGCAATTTTCATGTTGGATAGTTACAACACAACGTTTTGTACACGTTCATCCTATTGACGTATATCGGGGAAAATCACATCTAAAACTAGTGCTAATTGTAACGGGGACCGTTACAGATGTTCCCCAAACGCTCCCCAACTCCCTTTTGGTGCCATATTCCCTGTAATCTCTATTAAATAAGAAATACTTTATTGAATTAAGACTTAATCAAGGTCTTCCCAGAAAAATACAAAATATATTTAAAAATAGGCATTGCACGCGTGTTCATGTGCGTAATGACCATATTATCTTGTCTACACCATCTAAAATTTTAATATACTTAATATCAAAGCATTTAATCCAAAAGTATTAAAAAAGACGCTCATTCGAGTCTATTTTTAATTTTACTCATTTCACGTGCACGCACGTGCAAGCACGTGCATAATGACTACATCTTCTTGTAGGAGTCCCTTATATTTATCTATGTTCTAAATCCCATCCTGTTTGGTTGAAAAACAAGGGAGTTATAACCATTTGAAGTTTCAGCCAATCAGACTACAGCACACATGCATGCGCGTGATTTCATAATTTTTTATCTTTATCGTATTGAAGGATATCTAAGTGAATGACTATATTTTAAAATTCCAAACATTTTGTCAAAAAACAAAGGAGATATAGCCATATAAAGTTTCAGCCAATCAGATTGCAGCACACGTGCATGCGCGTGATTTCATGAATGTTTTTCTATATCATATTTTAGGCTATCCTAATGCATGACTATGTTTTAAATTTCAAAGCATTTCGTCAAAAAACAAAGGAGATATAGCCATTTAAAGTTTCTGCCAATCAGATTGCAGCACGCGCGCATGCGCATGCTTTCATGAAAATTTTCATATATCATGCTGTAGATCTTCATAATGTAGGACTATGTTCAAAATTTCAAAAGATTATGACAAGAAACAAGAAAGATATTGAGACTTTAGTTTCAGCCAATCAGAACGAAGCGCACGTGCATGCGCGTGAGATCTTGCTATTTTGACCATGCCATCTTGTCTATACTACTAATGTATCTTTACATTATGAGTTTCAAAAAAATTCATCACAAAAAAGAAAAGTTACAGCAATATCCATTATATTGGTCATTTCACGTGTTGCACGTGCGCGCTCTTGCAAGCACGTGCGCGCAAAATGACCTTCGTTCGGCAAATCTACATAACATGTCTACTGACCCTAAAAACATTTTACCTTAGTCGGATGTGTAGTTTACAAGATCACTCGAGGACAAAATTTTCCCAGGAAGAAGAAAAATAATAATAATAATAATAATAATAATAATAAGAAACAGAGTAAAAACAATATGTTCCCCAACTTCGTTTGGGGAACATAATTAGACATTGAAAACAATGCTCATATCTAAATATAGCCACAATACGTCATACTTCCGTGTTTACAATTGTTGTGGTGCAATATACCCGAATCAACAAGAGGTTTCAAATATAACGAAGATATTTAGTTCTAACTCAGACTAAATCAGAGAACGGAACAGTTAACATGGCTTCAAGTATTCAGTATCAGAAAGGAGAGAGGCCGGAGCTGGCAAAACATGACAGTTCGGTCCTGGACCTGGCGTTTGCTATGGACTGCACAGGTAAATATTTGTGTAAATAATTCTATTTTCTTCCTGGTAAGTGGGTTATTCACAGTCCGTATCTTTTTTTAATGTAATATTTTTGTGAAAACAAGTTCGTCAAGAATAGGATGTTTGTTAAGAATTGTTGTAAAATGAATTCCAAGAAACAACGAATTGATTCAAGCTATAATGTCCAAAAATAGAAATTAGAATATAATTGGCTCGGACTTTCTCTCTTCTATGACTCGATGACATTACACAGAGTTAAACAAATTGTAAAACAGGCCAATTTATGGATTTCTTTTATGTGTAAATTCTAGGAGAAATGGTCGATAGAAGAGGAACATGAACATAATGAAAATGTCGTGTTTTATCATATTGCTAGTAAAGCATAGGCCTAGTTTCATTTTTGACGTTCCTATGATACAAAAATCATACATTTGATATGCCCCATATAATCAAAGAATCGGGGCATATATTTTTGCACTGTCCGTTTGTCTGTCTAACTGTATGTCTATCTGTTTTCTTTATAATTTTGTGCGCAAAAAACTTTAATCTTGTCCATAGCTTTTGAGCACAGGCGTCTGACGTTTCTAACCTTTCTTTTTTAAAAATAAAAAAAACATGATGTTTTTGTGGAACACTGATGCCCCCATTATTGCAACTTAGCGAAGGTTATATTTTCTCAGATGCAAATCAAATCTGATGGTACCCAAATTAAGGCCTTTTCTCAAGAAATATAATTAAAATATGAAAGCCTTAACAGAACTTTCAAAAGTTATGACCAAGTTTAAAGTTTCTTAAAGGTAGGCCAAACTCCAGGGTCAAGGTCAAGGTCTTGGCACGAGGATTACATTTATGAAGTATGAAAGCCCTAACCCTAATCTTTCAAAAGTTATGGGCAAGGTTAAAAAGAGGGTGTTGCAGAAACTCGCGATTATTCCCTATATATCGAGAAGGACATTTAAATACCCTCGTTATGTCTAAATATAGATACAGCTACGTAGAGGACTATGTTTACGGCGGGTATTTCCTGCTTGATACAGCAAAACACTTTCGTCATTTTGCACGAAAGAGGTTGGAACAACAAAAAGTACAATGGCTTAAGCAGCATTTTGAAAGATATACTAGTACTGTAGATATCGTGCGAAAATATTTTTCATGAAATAAAACTGCGTCCCATAATCACACTGTTAGTGCTACATCCAAGACATTTTATTTGTTTCAATTCAAATCTTGGCTACTAAGAGACCAAAATTGCAATAACTACAGTATTAAAAAAAAAAATAATTATTTAAACAATACAGTCACTTTATTTCCCTAGATATAACTAAATAAAGCATTAGTTTTAAGTCATAGAATATTGATCAAGGAAAACAATTTAATCCTGCATTTCTAATATATAGTTAATTAGTTATACAATTACTTAATTGACCTCTTGACATTCTCTCTCCCACCTCTCTCTCTTTCAAAATATATATAATTTCATTGCCCATTACATGTGGAAAAAAATATGCAAAAATGATGCATATCAGGATTCGAACCCATTCTCTGGTAAAAGTATCGGTCGGAAGCCCACCAGCATATCCACTAGACCATTTCGGACACGTTGATTTGGTGGGTTATTTAAAGTACACATTTTGCATTTCGTTTGAAGAATAATTTTTATTTTCAAAAATGTGCCTCTTTGAAACAAAAATCGGAAATGGCAGTTTTGAGGAAAATTCCTGCCTCCTTTTGTATATATCAAAATTATTTTGTTTCAATGAGGCACCTTTTCAGAACAATGGGGAATCTCTATTTTAAAAAACGGAAAATCTTATATATTTTGCCGTAAGACTAATTTTCACTTCATTAAATGGCAAATTGGAAGTCAATACACACCTTCCAAATATTGTTTCTCGTTGTGCTTTATATGTTGTTGCATTTGAAAAAAATTAATATTTCTGCAGCATAAAAATTCTTCTTTTAATCTGCCACAGATTTAGGGAAAATAACAAAAGAACTGCAACACCCTCTTTCAGATCACCTGAGCTGTAAGCTCACGTGAGCTTTTCTGGTCACCCATTGTCCGCTGTCCGTCCGTCTGTCTCTAAACTTTTCACATTTTCAACTTCTTCTCAAGAATCCCTGGGCCAGTTTTAACCAAATTTGGTAAAAAGCATCCTTTGGGGGAGGGGAGTTTAAATTGTTTAAATGAAGGGCCAATTAAGTTCCCTTACAAGGGGGAGATGATCAAGAAATGACAAAAATAGAGGGGGGTCTTTAAAAAATCTTCTCAAGAACCACTGGACCAGAAAACTAAAACTTATGTGGAAGCATCCTAGGGTAGATTCTAAATTGTTCAAATCATGACCCCCGAGGGAAGGGTGGGGTCACAATAGGGAATCCAAGTTTAACATTAAAATATATTGGGATAAAATTCTTCTCCAGAACCACTGGGTAAGAAAAGCTGAAACTTGTGTGGAAGCATTCTGGGATAGTATAGATTCTAATCATGACCCCCGGGCGTAGGATGGAGCCACAATAGGGAATCCGAGTTTTACTTAGAAATATATAGAAAAAAATACTCTCAAGAACCACTGGGATAGAAAAACTGAACGATATGTGAAAGTAGCCTGGGATAGTGTACATTCTAAATTGTTAAAATCATGAATAAATATTGCATATAGTTGAGTGTAACATTGAAAAATTTCACCCCAAGAAAACCATTGCCATCCTCGGCTGACTGCGCCAAGGTTGACAATGATTTTCTTATAAGGTGGACATTTTCAATGTTACACTCAACTACTTGCAATACCGGTATTTAATTTATATAATCTAAAACAATTACTGGCAAAAATTCACTGGTTGCTTATTTTCTGACAGGTAGCATGTCCTCTTACATAAACAGTGCTAGAGACAACATTAGGACAATAGTGGAAGAGATCGTAGCAGGCGAGAAGAGCGATGTTCGTCTGGCCCTGGTGGAATACCGAGATCATCCTCCACAAGATTCCACATTCGTCACAAGAGTCCATGATTTCACCCCATCAGTGTCCACAATGAAGAAATGGCTGGACGCTTGCAGCGCCCAAGGCGGCGGCGATACTCCGGAAGCGGTGGCAGACGCTTTGCATGACGTACTCAAACTCAGTTGGCGGGAAAATGCCACAAAGATATGTGTACTTATATCTGATGCCCCGCCCCATGGTTTGAACCCAAGTGGGGACCACTTTCCAGAAGGATGCCCAGCTGGGCTGGATCCTATGGTTACAGTGCGGGAACTTGCGGAAAAGGGTGTTACTCTGTACTCGGTGGGTTGTGAGCCAGCTATTAATCAATATAGAGATTTCTTCATGGCGTTGGTCTACATTACAGGTGGACAATACGTTCCTCTAGCGGGAAGCAAAATGCTTTCACAGGTTATCATTGGTGGCGCGAAAGAAGAGATGTCCCTCGAAAAATGGATGGAAGAAGTAAATGAGGAGGTGAAGAGAGAAATGGAGGCTGGTAGAGAGATTAACGACGAAGAGATGTCGCGGGTGGTACACGCAAAACTGGCGTCAAAGGGAGCTGTTTCTCATAAATTAATGCAAAATAAAGCATCATTAAGACACGACAGCGAAGATGTTAGAAAATACTCAGAAATCACCAATATGGCAGACATACGCAAAAACTATAAACTGGCTGCGCATGCTCCGTCAATGGCTCGAAGTGAAGATGTTTACGAATGTGAAGAAAGTGGACATTCTATGGCGCAAGCGAAAAGAATGGTACAAAAATCGAAAGCCCGGATGATGAAAAAATTCTGAAGGAACATCGATCCCATCAACTTTATATAAATATGTATCTTTGTTAGAAATTGAGCTGATATTATGTACATTATGACGATTAAACTACAATAATTCATGTACATTGTATATATATGCAAGTTGTAACCTTGGCACCTGCACTTTATATTAATGTTGTATGCATTCATGTTTTTTTTTAAATAAGTACATGCATTTATATTTCGTTTATAATGCACATTTGCATTTATTTTTTGAAAATATATTTATTTTGAAATCTGTATTGATGTACATTCATGTGTTCGTGAAAGAATTTGTACATGATGATGTATTGTCAATTAACAATGCTCATTTCCATTCTTATGTCGGTACAATATATCCCGGTGAGCTGAGATTATTACCACATGGTTACATCTTATATATATTTGGATAATTTACTTGAAAAAAGATGTTAATAGTTATCTAACAACAAAGCTTAATAATAAACTTAATGACATTTTTCATACTAATTGTTAGGTCATTATTTCCACACTGAATTGACGACGAATTTTCCGTCATTTGAACTTATTTACCGATCATGACAAGGGGCACACGGATGTGACCTGTCGGCAGGGGATGCACACCCTCTATGGCACCTGATCCCACCTCTGATGTTTTAGAGGTCCGTATTTGCTCCGTTCCTATTTTGTATTGTTTTATGGACTTTTGAGCTTAAAATACTGTTTGTTAATATCTCCAAATATATTTTATGCACACGTATGTTAATAAAGAATGAAAAATACTTTACCTGTACCGAGAAGCTTTTTTGTCCAAACAAAAAGAAATCCTCGCTTTTCATAACTTAAGAAACCAGTTGCCGTTGGGTCAGACATTACAATACTTGCATTCAAAGCATACTTGTACATTTCTTGCATTATCAAACAATACTACATGGTGTAAAAACTGTTGTGTCAATAAACCCAATTAAGTTCGTACTTTGTTAATTCTTATTTTATGGACTTTCCATTCGCAGGCCAAAAGAATCTCAACTTTTATAATGTTTATATGCTTTTAATTTGGCAATCAGTATTTTATTTTCCACTCAAGATATATGTAATTCTCGAGTCCCCAAACAGTATGATTTTATTAGCTTACCTGATCCACGTGAGCTTTTCCGACCGTTGTCTGTCGTTGTGTTTATGTCGTTGTCATAAATTGTTCACATTTTCGACTTCTTCACAAGAGTCACATGGCCATTTTCAACCAAACTTGCAATAAAATAGTTTTGGTTGAAGAAGAAGCTTCTAATTTGTTTATCCCACTATTAGATTTTAGCTCAACGAGACAAAGTTAAGGATGGAGGGCTGGTGACGGCTTTCTAGGTTTAAGGTTTCTATACAAACTGTTGATCGAAGTTGCAAGAACCATACTTCTAGCATTTTTCATTTTATCATTCAGGCAAACTTGCATGAATGATGTATCTGAGATTGACTGAGAAGTACAGTACAAGATTTGCCTCAGATGCTGGATCTAACCTACATTTTCGAGATAAGTGACTAAATTAAAGTTTTTGGAGTAGATAATTATAAACTAAAGTAACTAAAAGCCCCACCTGGAACAAAATTGAATGGGTGACACCTGTAAGTATGGATTCTCATGATTGTTACTATAAGCCATATGGTAATTAAAATTGGATGATGAATGATGGAAGCTGGATCTGACTGACATTTTTCAGAAGAATAAACACAAAGTTTTTGGAACAGGTCCATTAAATCCCAAGTCCTTAAAAGTCATACATGGAAGATTGAAGATGCATCTATATAAAGATGAAAGTGTGAGACTTGCATTGGATTTTGGAGCTGCCTTAAATTTTCTGGATTTAAGAACATTACTTTGGAGTGAGGCTTTGCTTTACTTATAGCTAACATTTGTTGCAGTGAACTATGTAATCTTTTATTACCTATGTTGAAATTTGCACTTTTGATAAGTCTGCTAAAACTGAGCTCAGTGATTGTGCAATGATCTGTATTTGGCATTTCAATTGCCACCTTTAAAGTAATTTGGACCTTTGGTTTCTAAAATATATGTACTTTAAAATTACATGTGGGCAGTACTGTACATCTGTTATGTATTGCAAAAAGACAGTCATATTAAGTTGAGAAATTCATGATAATCTGGTGACTTTTAATTTACAAATGTAATAACTTTTAGACCAGCTACATGCATTTCAGTTATTTCATTACAATGGTGTACCATGAATAAAAGACAAAATCGTTCATAATATTAACATGCATCAGATTTACCCTTTGTGAAAAGTTTTGAAGCAGACTCCGGCTATTTTCTACATTTTATTTTTTCAGAAAGGCAGCCATGCTGCTTGTATGTGTATGTATTATAAATGTACAAATGGTATATATAATAATAAATTGATTTGTCTAATGCAAAACACTGTTTAATCTTTTTTTTTTTACAAATGTAATAATAACCTTTAGACCAGCTACATGCATTTCAGTTATTTCAATACAATGGTGTACCATAAATAAAAGCCAAAACCGTTCATAATATTAACATGCATCAGATTTATTTTCTTGGTTCTTGTTTAGAACATGGACCATGGATTCATTGCAAAATGTTACATTTTCATGGCAGTAGAAAGGTTCATCATCCTGGTACCATTTTCTGGCATCAAATTCTGGAAAAAAGAACTTGATTTCTTGCAATGCATTGTCTGGTGAATCTGAGCCATGACACACGTTTCTTGTGTCTGTCAGTCCAAACAATCCTCTGATTGAATGTGGGTCTGAATGAATAGTCCTGAACACTTTTGTGGGGCCCATAAGTTTTCTCCAGTGGGCAATAGCATTTTCACGGGCCAAGATATGAGCCCATATGTGCCCACTTGACATGAAATTCACCAAGCGGCTATGGAAAAATTTACCATGATGTTCCCTATAGAATTCTTCAGCATCAGCACGAGTCAAATGTAAATGTTTAGAGGCCACAAAGAAGAATCCATTTTCTTTGATAATTTCATGAATATCTTCAACAATGTGAGGACGGGAGGTTACATCAGGTTTGAGAATCGCTAGAGTTAATTCAAGTTTTTGTCCAGATCGCTTTGTAGTATAGCATCTTTGAACACATAGCACACTGGGTCTCGAAGCACTGTATAATATTTTGGCTAAATATTTAAATACGCCTGTCATCCTCTTTTTTTTTATAAATATAAAATTTATGGGTCTGAAATTGAAAAAGAGAGAACACTAACCAGAAGTGTTATCAAAACTAGAAAAATTGAAATCTGGTTAATAAATACTCAAATTGATTTTATTAACATATATGACATACAGGAAGTGGATATTTCAACGTACCAATATATAAATATTGCATGTAGTTCAGTGTAACATTGAAAAATTTTCAACCCAAGAAAACCATTGTCAACCTCGGCTGCGCCTCGGTTGACAATGGTTTTCGAGGGGTGAAAATTTTCAATGTTACACTCAACTACATGCAATATTTATTATATTATACTGAATGTTTTATACAAATACATATAACAGTGAACCGTGCGCGCTTAAATTCTGCGTAGTCGCTATTTTTTGGAATATTACCCGTCGTCAAGCAATGTTGACTGTTGCTACGCTGGAGGGCGTGGCTTCATTATTCAGCGGGTAATAGTGTTTTTTAACAAATGTTTCTCGACCAATCAGATTCAACTAATTTACATGAAAGTATAATCTTACAGATTAACCGCTGTGTTGATCAGCCGATACTGTACTAAACACTGCTAAAAAAATATTTCTATATAGTCTGTCGGTCTAATGATCTAACCCATGCGTGTCATGATGAACTAGAATGCTTATAACATTATATCAATATAAAACCTTAAAACTCTTACCATTTAAAATTTCAATCATCCTTAATATCAACACTTTCATCATTCATTTCATTCAATGTCACACATCATCACACAGGTGTCGGACGAATCGAAAGTAGATATCGCAGTCGGTGATGGTCAACTCGAACATTAAAATATTCGTTTCAAGTATTGGGGAAGGGGTGTTATTGTGGCATATTTTGTTCCCTATCTGCAAGATAAATTATGTCAACATGCAAGAAATGTATGTTATAATTCAAAATACATTAATTAATCATCTGATTTGAAAGTTACAAACATTAAGCTTGTACAAGAATCTAATATTTTGGTGTCTTATCCCCCCCTGGTCAATCATGAAAAGTATTTGAACATGTCTACATGCAATGTTGCAACCACTATTGAAATAACGACCACTATTGAAATAATTATATCAATAGTGGTTGAGAGTGTATTTCAATAACAAACATAGTTACTAACCACTATTGAAATACACCATATTGAAATAAGAATATAATCAATTTTGAGGTGCATTTCAATAGCAAACAAAGTTAGTAACCACTATTGAAATACGACCACTATTGAAATACTTATATCAATAGTGGGTGAAAGTGAATTTCAATACCAAACATAGTTAGTAACCACTATTGAAATACGACCACTATTGAAATAATTATATCAATAGTGGTTGAGAGTGCATTTCAATAACAAACATAGGTAATAACCACTATTGAAATAATTATATCAATAGTGGTTGAGAGTTCATTTTAATAACAAACGTAGGTAATAACCACTACTGAAATACGACCAATATTGAAATAATCATTTCATTAGTGGTTGAGAGTGCACTTTAATAAAAACATAGGTAATATCCACTATTGAAATACGGCCACTATCAAAATAATTATTTCAATAGTGGGTGAGATTCATTTCAATAACAAACATAGGTTGCAACCACTGTAGAAATAATGTTCACTTTTTTAATAGCCATTCTCTGTAACCACTTAAACTTCGTTGCCACGCATGGTCACCGATTTTGATGAAACTTCGCCCATGCTTAGTACTTGACACCAGAAACGAATATCAAACAAAATTTCGTTGCTATGTGTCTCGGTTGCTATGGCAACAGCCGGAAAAGTTTGAAAAATCGAGATTTTCAGCAACTTAAAATCTTCACTGTGGCTTAACAAAAACTAGAAAAAGCAAACAAACCATTCTCACAAAAACATGACACCTTGTTGTCAGTTTTACTGTAAAGAAACTGTTAAGAATATATCTCTAAGTGAGTGGTAACCAAGGGTACATTTGGAATACATTTAAAATGCTGAAATATGCTGAAAAACACTCCGTATTCACTAATGGTAGGTGTTACATGCTCAAACTCAATCAACGTAAGAAAAACAATGAAAATGTTTGACCTTAAGTATATAAGTATAAGCAATATTATTCTATAAATAACTTTTATGGTTGCCATGGTAACACAGTGAAACCATGCAAAACCAGTAACTAAGATTGGGTTAATGCTACTGTCTTGAGGAAAAACATGAAAATTCAAGACTGGCAAATGTGCATCCTTAGGACCTTGCAACACCAAAATCATAAGAAAATTGGGTATAATAGCTACTTTGCAGTGTTACCATGGAAACAAAGTACCACTGCTTAAACGTGAATTATTTTTCGCTGCATTAAGAATTAAATTGCCATTTAATCAAGAAACAAATTAAAGGACTCAGCTTGAATAGTACTTATCTGTTAGAACTGAAGTTGAATATTATATATTGATAAAATTTGATGAATAAAACAACACTGTTGCTATGGTTACCAAGAAGGGAAAATGTTCGATTTTGTGAACTTTATATCAATATTAAACCCTGTGTGCCAACTTCTTGCATCCACTTAGAGATTGTATGATAGTCAAAATTAAAAGTCAAGTTAGCTGTTAATAAATATCAATCATAAAAGTTTTGGGAATCTATATTTAAGGATACGTATCCAAGGAAAGAAAATATTTTTCAGGTTTTTAAGCATATATTTGCTGCTTATTTCCATAGCAACGCTCTATTTAAAGAATCTAATCTGAATTTTTTCAAATGTGAAAACTTGGAACACACCAACATCTTATAAAATTGATCATTAGTTATGAGGAAATGTGCTTTTTTAAAAAGATAGGATCAGATTTAAACATACAGAGTGTTACTTTGAATGCTCTCTGTGGTATAAAAACCTTGGCAACCATTGCCAACCAAAATGAAATATCACATTTTGTTCTTGGTATATGTTTCAAGGCTCTTTTTTCTATTATTTGGTCACATTTCATCCTATAATTGCTTTTTATTTTTACGTGTATTACTTTATAAAATTCAATGAATATTTTTTTTTTTACTTTTGAATACTTTGTTACCATAGTAACGTATGTAATAGTTGATTTACCAAACATGTTTATCATGCATTTGAGACATCTGACCTTCAACTTTTGGAAACAGTCATTGCCAATTGTTTGCTTTGCTGCAAATGTTAACTATGGGGCTCTAAACATGTTAAAAAATGCCATTTTTCGAACTTTAAGACACGTTGCCATGGTAACTATAAAACATAGCAACCAATTTTTGCCTGATTTTAGTTAAGGGTATCAATGACTTTAGACATAGAGAGTTTGGAGAAATTCTGAGACTATGCGTGCCACAGCTCCTATATAAAATTTCAAATCATTACAGAGAATGGCTCTTAATATAGATTTCAATACGGATAAAATCATTGATTTCAATGATGCTTTGAAAAATGAATCCAATTTATATTAAATAATTATTTCAAAAGTTGCTGACGCAGTGAAACTTTTCTCTGAATACTGGCAGTATTTCAATAGTGGTTGAAACCTATGGTTACCATCTTGAAATGCACTCTCACCCACTATTAAATAATTATATCAGTAGTGCTCGTATTTCAATAGTGGTTGAACCCTATGGTTATTATATAGAAATGCACTCTCACCCACTATTGAAATAATTATTTCAATAGTGATTACTATTTATGTCTGTATTGAAATGCACTCTCACCCACTATTGAAATACTGTTTTCAATAGTGGTCGTATTTCAATAGTGGTGACAAATTATGTCTGTTATTCAAATACACTCTCAACCACTGTTGGTATAAATGTTTCAATAGTGGTCGTATTTCAATAGTCGTTACATACTATGTTTGCTATTGAAATGCACTCTTAACGACTAGTGATATAATTATTTCAAATGTGGTCGTATTTCAATAGTGGTTACTAACTATGTTTGCTATTGAAATGCACTCTCAACCACTATTGATATAATTATTTCAATAGTGGTCGTATTTCAATAGTGGTTACTAACTATGTTTGCTATTAAAATGCACTCTCAACCACTATTGATATAATTTTTTCAATAGTGGTTGTTATTTCAATAGTGGTTGCAACAATACTCTCAACCACTATTGATAATATAAGTATTTCAATAGTGGTCGTATTTCAATAGTGGTTACTAACTATCTTTGCTATTGAAATGCACTCTCAACCACTGTTGATATAATTATTTCAATAGTGGTCGTATTTCAATAGTGGTTACTAACTCTGTAAATGCTATTGAAATGCACTCTCAACCACTATTGATATAATTCTTTCAATAGTGGTCGTTATTTCAATAGTGGTTGCAACAATGCAAGATAAATTATAAAATATGATGCAACTTATTAATTATTTCCTTTTTTTCAAAATCTGATTTTAATATGGGTTAATTTACTACAATGCCAGTATCTAAAACATTCAATGACATGCAAGATGCATGTCATAACGAATTATATTTGTTTATACTGGTAATATTGAGCGCCTCCTATTTTGCTCTTTTTGATTCATCAAATATTTTTGGTTTCCCTGCCATTCTTTGTAGAAAATTGAAGGGTATCACGTATCCTGAACTCCTCCTATACCACTGAATAAAATGTAATACTAATTTGGTTTTTCCATAGATAGGCGTCGGAACCAGGGGGCTGGGGTGGGGGGGGGCTTATCCCCCCCCCCCCCCCACTTTTTTTGTTGCAAAATTAGACATATATAGGCATTGAAAATTGGGATTTACCTTTTTTTGTTGGTTTAGTCCCCCCCCTTCGATTAGCTCCCCTCCCCACTTTCGATTTGCTTCCGACGCCCATGTCCATAGCAAAACATGGACACTGCTACAAATGTATATTCATATGGGAGGCGGGGTATCATTTAGTGAGCTCATTGCTCACAGTACCTATAGTTTTACTTTTTGATCTGACACTCATTTTTGGTCACCAAAAGCAAAACATGGACTTTGCCACTATACACATAAGAAGGGGGGTATCATTTAGTGAGCTCAATGCTCAAAGTACCTCTAGTTTCAAGTTATTTTTGAGTACAGCTTGCTTCCTTATCTCCAATATTGATATCTTGAATACCATGGATATGTCAGTGGTTTGCATGTGTTCCAACTTTTTTTTCTTCAACTGTCTTGAGTTTCTTCAAATCTCAAACATCTACAAGTTTTGTTTCTCAGCATCATCCAGACTGAGATCACAAGGTTAGACTATAGTTTAAGACACATCAATGAAGATGGAAGACAAGATTAGTAATTTTGTTCTGCACCAGTTGAAGGTAAAAATACTGTATCTCTCTTTGCAATGCTTAATGAATTATAAAATAAAGCCATATGACTGACTCTTAAAGTTCAAGTGAATTCTACAGTACTGTAACATTAAAATTCTAACACAAACAAACACACAGATAATGCCAATGCACAACCTTACTATCACAAGTTTAATACAAATACTGTATTCTGGGTTTTGGACCATGTTATTTTCACCCCTTCACACTTGCAATCAATTCTAGTCTGTTTGAAATTTGCCAAGTCAAGTTCTGTTTTAAAAAGTTAACCATTTTTAAATTCGCTCCTTCTAAGATTCACCAAATTGTGTCTAGGACAAAAGGGGCAAAATAAAACAGACACAAAAATTTCCCTGTATACAGTATTTAGCAAAAGAAAAAAAAAGTCACATATTATAAAGGAAACAAAGGTATGAAATTTTTTAAAGCTTGGTTTCAAAAACAATTCAAGATACGGCTTTCTCTTTATTTTTATTTGTGTTAAATTGCTGCTATAAAAAACCAAACAGACAGCACAAAAATTTGTGAGTTCTATCGTCACTTTAATAATGAATCTTCTTATTACTAATCACAGTCTCTCCTCTAGAAAAAAGATAAGGAAAATAGCTTATAGACGATATCTGGCACCCTCAAGCTTTTTAAGTTCTTCTTCCTTTTCTTTGACCATGTCCCAGGTTAATGGATGATGCCATTCTGCAGCTAAAAATAAATATACTACATTGTAGATATACCAAAATTTTTAAATTCTCTGATGGGTTGGTTGAGAAATTTTATGTTAAATAAAATTGAAACAGAGCTCTCTTCAAACACTTACTTTTTACAGGTAACTCAGAGACCTTCATTTCTGAAATGAAAAAAAAAAGTTAAAAGTTTCAAACACCTCATTTTCAAAATAACACTGCATATTTTTTTTTTACATGTACATTGCTACTGTTTAGAGCAGTGCATTTCTATACACTCATAAAAATTTACACACATATATATATTTGAAATGTGTAGATTTAATCCTTTGCTCTGATGTTTACTTTCTTTTTTTCATCTGCCCTATGGCGTCATGAACCAACTTTTGATTATCTGATTTTTCTGTTTTTTCTCTCTAACAACTGTTTTATTTTCAGCCTGATTTTCTCATTTTATCAAGAATTCCCCTATTTATAATAAAGAAGTTGCTACCTGCACACTTTTTAGCCATGGCTGTTACTTTGATATAAATTTGAATAAACTGAAACCCTAATATAATCAAGAACTCTTTAAATGCATTTAATACCTAATATTAATATCCCTTTTTAATTGTTATGCTGTATATGCTAACTTGAAATAAAATTTACTTACACAGGTTGGGACCAATCGCCCAAATGGGATATAATCAGATTCTCTCCCATTAATACTTACTTTCTCTTATGATATCCCAAATGGGCTACCCACACAAAAATATTACAGTGCAAAAATGTGTTGTTGACACCAAAGAAAATTTATATGGGGCAATAACATGGATGACAGGGTTAAATCCGCATCAAAACACTTAAAAAGGAATAACATTTGGTGAGCAAGTTTTCTGCAACCATACAGTTTGTAAGATTGATCCCCATGAAGTTAAGGAACTTCTGAGGGATCAATCGCCTAAACAATGGGCATACATGAAAACTTGTCAACCAAAATTTATTCCTTTTTAAGTGTCCTGAGCGGATTTATGATATTTATAGCCAAAATAAAAATTTTCAATTTTTTCACTGTAAATTTATAGCCCATTTGGGATGTTATATCCCAAACGGACTATTATATCCCATTTGGGCAATTGGTCCCAACCTGTTATATACTTTTGAAACTAAGTAAAAATGCTTTAATATTAAAAGCTACTGTAACGTATGTTCATAAATGAGAGTTGGTTTTATTTAAGCTAAAACCTTAAACAGTATGAGTAAAGATAAAATTATTGATAGTAACTAAGTAGCCTCGGGTTTATTAATATAGACGGACAGAGGAAATTCTGCCTGAAACAAATAAATTCGCCCTTTTCGGCATGGCTTACTCTAACAGGTTGAAAATACAGTGTGCTACTATTAATAAATTAAAAACAACATTATTTGCATCAAATACATACATCTAAACCACATTCAAACAATTAATGAGCAGTTTTCGGTGAAAATATTCTGCTTGACCTTACCTTTCTCCAAAAGGGGGTGTTGGAGTCTAAATAACTCGTTGCAAATATCATTCGAAAAAAAATTAATTAAAATAAAAATTATCCAACCAACCAATTATATTTTTAATTAATGTATTGAAAAGAAAAATTGAAGGTGACAAATATAGAACATGTTTGACCTTTGATCTGATGAAATAAAGATAAGATGAAGTTAACGACTTTTATTTGTATAACTTGATGGAGTTGCTGAAGTGAAAGTACAATTTTGATGAAGTAAAAAACATGTTATCTCCGTATTCCTCGTCTCGGGTTATTTCAGACGGAGAAAAATGATAATGGAGTAATTTAACATATCCACCTCCGAGGAATGGCCGAAATTTTTCATGGCTTTGAGTTGCTGCTGCTGAAGAAGTTCGACAACAACCCAGAACAATGGAGAGAGCTGAAGCAAAAATTGGCAAACAAGGACAACAACGACCAGGAGTCTTATACCTACATAGATCTACTCATGATGGGGGTAAATTCAATAGTTTTTAATTGTAATTAAGAAGATTTATTCACAACTTCTGTTCCATTCTTTTATATTTTATCTGTTCATTATCTGCCAATTGTCCTTACACTACATCTCAATAATCTTAATTTTTAATTATTAAATGATTAATGAAACATTTTATGTTTCTAAACTTTTTATATTCAAGTTAAAACAACGAGTGAAAAACATAAATATTGTGATAAAGAACTTTTATAAACATATTTCCTGTCTAGACGTAATGTTTTCTCTGGCAGCAACT